AAGAAAATTATTAAAAATTAAACTTTTGCGAAGTTTTTTAACTTCGCGTTCTTTTTTGATCAAATGGTATTTGAATCTCAAGAGAGGAAAATCGCATACAATCAATTATACTTGGATATGTTTGGACTTGTTTAATATTCAGATATTGTTACAGAGATCCTACAATTCGCATGAACAAACCACCATCAATTTGCAATTATTTCCATACAAAACTTAAATAGGACTACCCTAAAACTGGCAAAGTATGATTATTAAATCTGGTATACGTGATTGTATGGCTAATTACTCACTAGAGTAGATCCTTCATACAGAAATTAAACAGGAAAAAGTAACCTGGAAAAAAATGAAAAAAACTTTCTGTTGTAGAATGATACAAAGTGATAATGCTCTTCGAAAAGGATTCGCAATTAAGTCACCAAGGACAAGGACAATAATCCGAACTTCGATAAAGTCCTAATAGCCGTGTTGATTCTTACCAAATGATAACGATTCATGACGATGCTACACCTGAAATTGAATATAATATTAAATTCCATATATAATATTATATTAATATAAATAAATAATTAAAAATATTTAAACAAGTTAAAATAATTTAAACCATTATAGGTTTACCTAAATCTCATAGTGTGAAATAGTTACCTAATAGTTCAATAATTATTGTAGTATTAGGTCAACACGTTCTTTCTACATTCAACAGAATTATTTGAGTGTATTAAATATATTATGTTAAATTTAAAGCATTAAAGATCTTCATAGATCTCATGGGGTAAAAAGCGGCTCAACGATCATTGAAATACTAAGCGTACACAACTACTTAACATACAATGGAATTATTTAAGCCATAGTAACAATATATTAATATATGATTAGTGTGAAGTACCTGATGCGACTAGAAACTACAAACTACTAAAAACTACCAAAAATTTGCAACTTTACAATCTGTTGCTTTAGAATCTAAACTATGTTGATATAAACCCTAGTGTGATAAAGTTTCTTACTAATTAAAATCCATTGTCAAATAACTGTGCCCAATAAATCTTGCCACGAACTTAAATTAATAAGTAGAAATATGATTTGATCTATATAAATACGACGGCTACTTATTAGTCAATAGAACTTAGGTTCTTAAGCTACAACTTATATACTTGCAGATAGAAGCTATGTAGAAGCTATTATATTTTGATAGTAATACAGCTTCCTTCTTTGTAAAAAGATTGCCATGCTGTGTCATAATTACATCCTTCTTGAAAATCAATCATTCCCATTACTATCGTGCAGCAGTGCTTATAGTATATTGTTTCCAAAAATGTTTATGACATATCACACGACGAATTAAGTGTTTTAATTCGTACACTATATTGTGATGTTTAAATAGTAAGAACAAGCAAGTAAACATTTATTTAGTAATCTTTTTTAATTAAATTTATAATACTTTTAAATACCATAAATAAATATTTTATCAAGTATGCATATTTTGTTAATCGAAAATGATGTAAAAGTATTTGTTCTCAGTGACCACATCAAATTTTTTTGAATCTTTTTATAATACATTTAACTCAAATATAGATTAATATGCATTTTATTTGTATAAAAATTATCAAACTAAATAAACTTAACAAAAACAATTCTAAATACAATGCCCAGTATTTTGTTTGGGTTGTTATCATACCCAAAGCCTAGGTTATCAGTTTGAGACTTTTCAGCGCTTTTACGAGAGCAAGTCTTGAAAGCTTCAGTACTCTTTAAACAATCGCGGCTGCTGTATGCTTTAATGTAATTGAACATAGTTATTTATTTAATTAAAAATAATAAATAAAAATATTATATAAAATATGCCAAATATAAATAAAAGTAAAGTAATCGCTATAAGTGCGTTATTAATATCACTTGGTTTGATTATGGGTTCGATATATTTGCACATGCAAAAGAAACATCATCTCGGACGAATGAATACCGGATCGAGACAATTGAATAGTGCTGGTGTGGGTACGCATATATATATATAAATATATAAATTTTTATACCGGGTTTATCAAAGAAAAGTGATTTAATTTCGAGATATGCGGAGTTGAGGCTTATTTTGATTATTAAGTGACTTAAACTAATGAAAAGATTTCTATGAAATAAATAATATCTTGGCATGATTCTGATTGCCTGGACACACCCATTTGACAACGGGTCTTAGGAGAAACAGGTATTTTAATCAATTACGCCATAAGTTAGTATGAATTAGTTTTCGAGACAACGGATTTTATGTTATCAATTTTAACAAGAAAATGTAGAGACGCAAAGATGTCTTGTATACAGTGGAAATGTATAATTGAGTATTTCTTTCTTGTGATTGTTGTCAATTTAAAAAGTTAACAAATTCAAATTTCGATAACTCATAAAGTAAGCCTTATCGGTTTAAAGTGCATCGGAAAAACTGCTAAAAGTAGCTAACTCCACTAAAAGCTGTTCTCAAATGAACATGCACGGAAAATCGGAATCGTGCCAGTATCTTCAAACATTTTCATCGTTTAAACATTACCAATTCATATGTTCTAAAAATAGTTAAAATTAAAATAAATTAAGATTAAATGTTTTGAAGATTATTCATCTTCGATCGCCAACTTTTACTTCAACATTTTTGTAGAGTTAATTTTATTGCCTGTCATACGACACTTTTTTGTGAAAAAAAATTCTAAAACGAATTAATTTTAACAAACAATATATAGAGATTCATAATATATCTTTAGCAGTGTGCTTTCAAAAATAAAAAAAATTGATATAATATTCGTTGAATTAAGAATTCAGTTTCTGGATTTAACGAATTTTAGTAATGACGGTCCTTCATACAATTTAATTATGCCCATTTATGAATAATATATGAATAAACTGAAAGTTATATACAATCTTGAGTAGTTTTAAAATAATTCAAGCAAGTGTTGTTGTAAATAATTTAAAAGTAAATTTATTACGTGTTATCTCAATGTATACAATTTTGTAATACAATATACTTTCTTAAATAAACCACGCACATAATTTTAAATACTTCTTAAAAATAAATATTTATCTTATAATATCTTGAATTATGTGTGTCTAAGTAAAAAGTATCTATGTTTCGTTTTCAAGACAATATGCATATAAGAAAGAAATATGAAAAAATATTAATTGTGTAATAAAAATAAATTTTTATATATACTAATAAGACCATTATCCTAGTTGAAAACTGTCTAATATTTATAATTTAATATATTAAATTAATTGAATCATATTTATTTGATTTGACGAATTCACATAGCTCAACTACTTACTACTTTGATGAAAAGTTTCGATATTATACTAATACCCTCACGTCTCATCATCTCTAATGATGAATAAATAAATGCGTTGTAGATAGTAGATGGAAAATTCGATATCTCGCATGTAATATAACTTCGCAACACATTCAAAGAGCGAGTCTAAATCAGAGCTTCGGACTGGAAATTTCCTCATATTGGTTATGATTGCAGTTCAATTAAAAATATTACAAGGATTCAGGTTTTACACAGGCACTTACAAATAAAGTGACAAAAAACATGAAACATAGCATAGAAAGTGTGTACAGCCTTGAATAGTTGTGGCATAACATGATTAGTCATCGTTTCTAACTTATCAGGTACGAGTTCTAAAAATGACGCTTGTAGTCCAACAAACTACATAAGGACTATAAACTAATTAAATAAAAATTCGAATATCTTCTAAGATCACTAAAGGTGAAACAACGTTGTATGGTCAGCCAAATTTCAGTAAATTAATTAAAAATGTTTGTTGTTGTTTCTTCATTACTGTTCGAACCCTTCTAACTTATAAATGGTTTGTTTCGTCGACATTTTATACATGGTATTTTTTTTTTTTGTTAGTTTTCGGTTCAATTCCGATACAAACCTTAGTATAAATACACAACAGAAACCTGCTATTTGGTAATAATATAGATATATAGATATTTATATATTTTCTATAACAAAGATCAAATTTAAGTAAATCAGATTGTAATGAACTTTAATAATAATACTTCAAGAATACTCTTATTAAAAACTAAATATTTAAATATATTTTTCTTTTACAGACTACATTGACTTAAATTCAGACATTGATATAAGTGATGTCATTAAATCAAATGATTCTTCTGATGACGTACAATCTAGCGAATCAGAATCATCAAACGAATCGAACTCAACTGAAATTTTTCAATATAACGAACTCACGCCATCTGCTGAAACTTTTTCAAATGAAGACAATGTGAACGAAATCTGTATGCAGTGTATGTGTGAAAATATTTCCATGTGCAAGCCAAGAAAGTGTGGTAAACAATCGTGTGGTGTCTTCATAATTTCAGAAAGTTATTGGTTTGATGCTGGTGAACCAACTGTCTCAAAAAACGAATATACAAACAGTAAAGATGCTAGTGGTAAATTAATTAAATCGAAATCTATGATAATAAGAAAAGAATCGAATTAATTTGAGTATTTAATTTACAGATTATTTTCTTTGTGTTAATGACCGAAAATGCGCAGAAACGACTGTAAGGGCATATATGAAAAGATTCTCTAGAGATTGTAATAAAGATGGTGTTATCGATTGTCTTGATTATATATTGATACATTTACTTGGGCCAAATGGTTGCCTTACTAGTTCATTACATCCAGAATTCTTTAAAAATATGAGGCAATGCTTATCTCGTGAAGCTCTGTGAAGGATTACCAATAGTAAATATTAAATTTATTTATAAGATTTTTAATGTAATATAACATATAATCCCTACTCAAACTTAGTAACAATATGTTAGTAATTTGTGACTATTAAATTTATTCTGTGTTATGAATATTTTAAGTAGATATTTCTCTCTCTATATATGTATATATATGTACATATATTTATATATATATATATATAGATATATATAGATATATATCTCTCTATATATATATAGACATATACACATATATGATACATTTTATATAATACATACAATTATAGAAAATAATATATTACATATTACTATATAATATATATTATTATATTACATATATTTATATTGCGTGTCATCACTTAAACTGCATGTAATACGTTAAAAGTTATTAAGAGAACTAAGACCCGTTGTTATTACAATAATTTTAAATGAGGTGAACTTACTAGAAAGCAATATAACAGCTAAGTAAATTATATTCAATACACATGAAATTATCAAACAAAATACACAACAAAAATTTTCAATAAATCTAAATCTTTTTTATCGTCATCAAAGTATATCCAATCGAATACTTGATCTAATTTTCCATATATTTTGTTAGGCTAATAGTCTTCAACTTATTTAATAGCTTCAAATCCGTTATTCGCACGTTGCTACGTCACATACGTGACATTTACATAAAATCTCTCTGAAGTAATAACTTAATGAAATGTTATAAATCAGTTTTTGGTATATTTTACAATGTTCAAGAGTAAAGGGAATATGGCAGCAAACTTTGAAAAAATTTCACCTGTTTGTGGTAAAAAAAACCCTAACCTATTTAACCCTTAGGACATAGTGCGTTTTCTTCCGTTCAAAACTACGACGTTATAAGCAGTGATAACATTATTTAGAAACTAAAGATCAAGTGTGACATTTCTTCAAACTAATAACATAAAGCTAATTATTAACAAAATATCCAGGTTCTGGTGATCCATCAACTCATTCCCTATTAAGACAGACCACACTTAAGCCTTTTCCGTAATACAACAGAATAAATGATCAAAAGCAAGTCATATAGGAAAAAAACTCTGCAAGAAAAGAGTCTTAATTCAAGAAACTTAAAGTTGCATAGGAAGCGAAAAAGTCAATTTAATACCTAAAATTTAAAAATTAAGTAAGTAAAATTAATTAATTTGTGGGACTCCAAAGTTATCTTATGAGCTGCTACTACATGATATTGAAATAAATTTCTATTGTGGAAATCAATACGATTTACCAAAAGAAGGTAAAAATACAGAGAATTAATCTTGCAGACGAAAGATCATAGACACAAATACATATATAGTTCAGTCTTGAGAAATGCATCCTGTTTTTTGGCTAAAAGTGCCATTGCAAATATAATTATTTCTAATTACTATTATCGTAATATATGATTTAATAAGTACATAAACTATGATCTAAAACTGAACCTTTTAATAATATGTTATTGACATCACCTCGGTTTTAAACCATAAAAGAGGCTAAGTCTTCTATCTAAGTCTTTTATAGTTTTCCATGCTTAAAATTGAAATTTCTATGCTGGTTCAAGGTCTTTTCGCTGTAAGACATATACATTATACGAGTTATGCTCTTTTTAGGTGATTCCAAGTGATTTCTCGTTAGTTCAGTGTAGAAGGTATAACCTTTCTAATAAAATTTAAAAGTCTTCAATTTAATTCATTTAAGTTTCATTACTCTTAATAACGACCTCATTCATTTTTGGTTTTACGGAAGTACGTGCGTTACTTTAAACAATATATATATCTTTATATATATAATTCTTCTATACGTGTGTTGACAGTGAACTCCTCCTAAACGGCTGAACCGATTTTGATGAAATTTTTAGTGTGTGTTCAAGAAGATTCAAGCATGGTTTAGATTCACATTTTGGTCCACTGGATAATGTTTTTTTAAATATTATACAATTTTTTGGTATCCATATACATTTATATTAGACATTTAAAATTTATTCATACTTACTTTGATTTGTTTAAAAAGTTTAAAGTCTTTAAAATGAATCGTTCAACTACTCTGTTGAATTTTTGAATTCGCTGGATTTACCAAGAATGCCACCACATAACTTAAAATTAAAAATTGGCTCACCTATAATTAAGTTCCGGAATTTAAATGCACCTAAGCTATGCAACGACACGAGATTAGTTATAAAAAAAATTAAATTATGGACAATGTACTTAAAGCTACAATTTTAAATAGCAAATTTGAACGTAAAGCTGTTCTCCTGCCACGAATCCCAATGATCCCTTCAGACTTACCCATTCCATTCAGACATCTGCAATTTCCAAATCGCTTAGCATTTGCCATGACTATAAATAAGTCACAAGGTCAAACAATGTCGATTCGTGGGATAGATCTAGAAAATCATATAGTCAATTATATGTAGCGTGTTTTCGCTTTGGAAAAGCGTCAAGATTATTCATTTATACTGCTCAAGAATTGACTAAAAATATTGTTCATCAACTCGAATTAAGATGAAATTAAACAAACATTATTGATTATTACGAATTGGTTTTCGAAAAATTAATGTTATTTCAAAATAAAGACACATTATGGCATGCTGACAGGCCACTTCATTGACTTCAGAATTTCAAATATCTTAGAGTCGAATGTGCACATAGACGTTCTTGATGAACTGGACTTGGATCACAAACCAGTTCTTTTTATTCCTGAAAATTGTCCAGTAATCAACATGAATCTCACGTACATAACCACTGACTGGGGCTCATTTAAGAATTAGGTTAATATTTCAAATATAAACAATTGGCAAGTAACTTCTGAGGATCTTGATGACTGTATCCAAAAACTCACTCTCAAGATTAAGGAGGCTTTGGATAATAGCTCCACCACCAGGACCAGAAAACCAAGTAGCTACTTCTATCTGCCGCATTACATCAAACAAATCATTAGACAAAGGAATGCGATTTGAAAATTTGCTCAAATAACTGGAGATCCTATGAGAAGAAGAGAAGACAATCGTCTCTCTAAAGTAATCAGGAAAAAAATTGGCAAACATAATAATGATAAATGGTGCGAATTTCTTTCAGGAATTGATACAGGTAATAAAACCTTCTGGGCTTTGAACAAGTATTTTAGGCTTAAACGTAAACCGATAGTGCCGCCTATTTATGTAGCTACCGGCATAGCTTTCTCAGACTTAGCCAAAGCTGAGGCCTTTGTAGATTCTTTGGAGCTGCAATTTCAGCCCAATACTGATAGTGACTACAATTCCCTGGAAGAAGCAATTATTGCTGAAGAGGCTGCTAATCTTAGGAACCTGATCTCAGATGAAAGCATCTCACAGTGTTCCAGAGATGAGATTAACTGTATTATTTCGAGTTTAAAGGCCAGATCGGCACCCGGATATGATAATATCAGTAACAAATGCCTACGTAATCTTGCAGAAGATGCTATCCAATGCATTGTTAACATCATCAATTGCATGCTTAGGCTTGGCGAATTTCCAAAGGCCTGGAAGTTGGCCTCAGTCGTAGTGTTTCCTAAACCGGACAAGAATCCTTCATTTCCGCAGAACTGGCGTCCTATCAGTCTGCTCCCAACTATGGGGAAATTGGCAGAACGAGTAATCCTGACTAGGCTTAAAACAGCGGTGAGTGCCCTAAATATACTTCCTGACGAACAATTCGGGTTTAGGGATAATCTCTCCACGGAATTACAACTAGCCAGAACTGCGCAGCTGATACAAACCGCTCTAAGTAAACGGGTGTCAACCGTGATGATTATATTTGACATATCCAAAGCTTTTGACAAGGTCTGGTATGATGGTCTAATAGTGAAATTGGCCCGTTTTGGGATCCCTAGTGGTTTGACTAAAATTATTGGTAGCTTCCTGCAAGAAAGGTCCTTTCGTACTAAAATTAATAGCACTCTTTCGTCCTCCCGATCAATTGTAGCAGGTGTACCTCAAGGGTCGCCTTTGTCTCCCACATTGTTTAATGTATATACGGCAGATATCCCCTCCTTAAGTCCCACGTCAATGGCGCTTTACGCAGACGACACGTGCTTGATCTACTCGGATCGGGATGCCTTAAATGTAAGCAACACTTTACGGGGAAATATAGACCTTATGGTGGAATACTTCCAAAAATGGAAGATTAAAATTAATAATGACAAAACCAAGGCTATATTTATAACTCGAAAAAGAAGACAGCATCCTCCAAGAGTGAGTGTTTGCGACACGGAGATACAGTGGGAGGATAACATAAAATATCTGGGGGTCACTTTTGACAAACGGTTAAATTGGCTTAAACATTTGAAATACAAACGGAATAGCTGCCCTAAGATTCTACATTTATTAAAGCCGCTATTTAATAATTACCACTTCAACTTTAAAAACAGAAAATTACTTTATACGCAAGTAATTAGACCTGCACTACTGTACGGATATGTTACATATAGCAAAGCCTCAAATATTACCTTAAAGCAATTACAGATAGCTCAAAACCTGGCTTTAAGAAAATTGTTTAAGATTCCATGGTATATTAGATCAACGGACTTACATAGAGATCTTAGGATTGACTCAGTGAAAAAATATATCAGAGACAGAGCTTTAAAATTATTCACTAAAGTTGATACGCTACTTAACCCCGCCCTAACAATCCTCAAGTCCACTTCTGGACTCTCAGGAAGATATGCTGATTTAAGGTCCGTCATCAACTAGAAGACAAATAAATGATATGATTTTTTAGCCTAGTTAAAGCCTAGTGTGGGGTAGTGATTAGCTCCCCAGTCATTATAGAGTAAAAGTGCGTAATAGTACTAACTCAAGAAGAAGAAGAAGAAGAAGAAGAAAGAATAACAAAATTATTACGTAATTTGCCTTTCATTTTTTACTTTGTTTAATATCCTAATCGCCTAGTATATCATGCAGGACAACATCTGTCGGGTCCGCTAGTATATATATCTATATACATAAAAGAAAGTCATGTTAGTTAGACCACTTATAACTCAAGAACGGCTGGACCGATTTTAATTATCTTTGATTTTTTGGAATCGTCTCCGCTCCGAACAGCAGAATATATTATAAAATATTTCTTATTTCATA